ACAGGGCTCCTGCTATGAGTTAGGTGCTATGAACACAAAGACAGCTTAGGATAGAAATAAAGTCGTCATAATAGTAATGTGTATGGTGGTGATCTAGAGGTCTGAGTCAGAACAAGTCATTAATAAACCAGGGACCGGAGTTGCGCATTGCTAAGAAGGGACAGATACAAGAGGAGGATGCTTGACCACCAGCATTTGCCTATACCCTTGCTTTGCATTTGGTTCAGGTGGCATGGTATTTATCTATTTATTTATGTATGTATGTACGTATGTAACATTGGTTATAACATTATATAAATTTCAGGGATACATCATTATATTTCGATTTCTGTGTAGATTACACCATGTTCATCACCCAAAGACTAATTACCATCCATCAGGCATGGTCTTTAATAGCTCTCTTTAGTATGTGGGTAAGAGAATGCTTTCACATACAAAATCTCATTGGATATGAAATAGGTAGCACAAATATTATTTCCCACTTTTCACAGATAAGAAAATGAGCTCCACAATAGCAAAGCTGCTGGGATCACAGTGGATGGATGGTAAAATTAGAAGCTGAAGCAGGTTCTCCAAGTTCTCATGTGAGCTCTTGTCTAAGATGAAGCATTCCCAAAGCACTTCCAAAGTCCACTTTCCACCCTCATCTTCAAACTCGCCAAGTCCAGCCGCCACCTCTAGACTCCAGTGCCGGAGTGCTTATTCCTTAAACCCCGCCCCACGTGGGACCTCCTATTCCTCTGCACATCAGCCAGACATGGTTAGAGAAATCCACAGGAATGTTTATTTTAAAAACAAAGGGAAGACAAATACAAAGGTGTGAAAACAATGCAATTAATCGAGTGCAGGTTTCAGCTCACAGTTTGTTTTGCCCGGCAGGGTAGATGGCCAGAGATCCTCTCCTCTATCTCCTCCCTGTCCAAGTAGGCAACTTACCTGACCTTGGGTATGTCTCTTATCTATTTTGGGTCCTTCCTCTCCTCCCCTGGGGGGGGGGGTGTTAAACTGAATCTCCAGCCTCTCTGTTAGCAGAGTAATTCATAGAAGGAAGAAGTGATTACACTCACCAGAGTTGTGTATCACATCACTAACCCTTGCCCGTCCGCATCCAACAGCTTTCATCCCTTCCCGAAAAAATAAGGGAAGATGTTCCAAAAACATCCTACAGCAACCTCCTGCAGCCACATACTGCTGCAATGGAGAAAGGAGTTCTCAGGATGGGGAATATGCAGCATTTGAATCTGTCAACTAAGTAGCACCTTTTCCCATATTTTGATTTAAACAACTTTCCCACTTTTTTTCCTTCACTTCCAAGGGGGATTTCACAGGATGATACGGAGGTCCCAAGGTGCTGGCAAATCTTTGATATGTGAAACAGGGGTCTCTCCTAGCACATCTCAAGGAGCTGGATGCATTTGTGCAATTCATTCCACTTGTGTGCAGAAAGAAACCAAGGGGACAGTGTAGAGTAATGGTTAAGAGCTGGAGCTCTGAAATCAAACTGCTCTGGAATGGAGTTCCTGCTCTCTTTGCCAGCTGTAGGACCCTGGCCAAGATAGTTACCCTCCCTGAGACTCCATGTCTTCATTTACTTAAAAAATAATAGCTGGCGTTGATTGAGCACACACTCTGTGCTAGGAACTATCTGTGCTAATTTTACACGATTTACATGCATTTTCGCATTTAATCCTTACCACAGCCCTGTGAAGTGGGGACTATTATCATCCCCATTTTATAGGTAAGAAAAATGAAGCACAAAGAGGTTAAATAGTTTGCCAGAGATTGTATGACTGTAAACGAAAACAGGATTCAAACACAGGCAGTCTTCCTCCAAGACCCATGCTTTGAATCGCTACCTTCTTCATAGTGATGTTGTAAGGATTAAACGAGCTCATGAAAGTCAGGTCCCCTGCATAGTGCCTGGCACTTCAACAAGCTTTAGGTAAATGTTAGCTGTAGCATTATTTTTAGCATTGTCATTCGTTCCAAGAGATATCTGGGCCAGGTTTTAACATAGGATATTTTGTGCCTAGTCCAGTTAACTGCCCCAAGGCATGTGTTTTGCAATTGACCTGAAAGGCCTCTGCTCCTACCTAAACAATCTGTGTACTATGGGTTACCTGGTTAAGAGATGGGCTAAATGGCTGGCAATCTGCCCATGCACAAAAGTTCTTCATACTGGAAAGAAGTATGAAGTGTCTTATAAAAGAATGGCATACTGAGCAATAGCTAGTAGAACTGTAGGCAGTACCCAGATGATAAATGGATTATGTTTCAAAAGTTCATTTGTCTATTGTTATAAACTCTGAATCCATAGAAATAAGGTTGCAAATGGTGGTTACATTCCAAGACTATTCACAGAAGTCTATTTATTTAGCCCATTTTAAAGCTCAATGACAGAAATCAACCCTCTAGCCCAAGGGCAGGCCTAGGCACAAGAGCCCATGTGATAAAAGAAGTAGAAAAGTGTCTTTCCTGGTACAGAGGAAAGTTGATCTAGAGTGTATTTGTTATCTCTTGCTGTGTAAGAAATTATCCCAAAACTTACCATATTAAGACAATAAACATTATTATCTCACAGTTTCTGTGGGGCATCTGGGAATAGCTTAGTTGGGTGGTTCTGCTCAGGATTTCTCGTGAGGTCAAGGTCACCTCACCTAGGCTGCAGCCATTTGAATGCTTAACTGGGGCTGGAGATCCACTTTCAACATGACTCACTCACATGGCTATAGGCAGCAGGCCTCAGTTCTTCATCACATGGGCCCCACCATGTGGCTGCTTGAGTTCCTCATGACGTGGTAGCTCCGGCTTTTCCCAGTGCAAGTGATCCATGAGTGACAACAAGAAGGCAGCTGCAATGCCTTTTATGACCTACTCTTATAGGTCATACACTGTCACTTCTGTCATAGTCTATTCATTATAGGCCATATGCTATTCATTAGGAGCAGCTCACACTCAATAGGAGGGGGAATTAAGCGCCACCTCTTGATGGGAACTGTATCACAGAATTTGTGGACATATCTTAAAATCACCATATAGTTTTTGTTGTCCTCCCATCACTCTCTCCAGGTACCCAGTGACACAAAATAATAAAAATAAATCGAGATTCAGAACCACAGTCCTTCCCAACAGAGCTTACTGTGAATACCCAAAACAATCCATGCTCTTGCCTCAACTTTTCTTGAAAACATCTATCCTCTTTCCTTAAATGGAATCTTATATGAAGAATTTATACTAAAGAGAGAGCAATCATATTCCCAAAATCTTTGCTTTATTCACTAGTATTTTTCATTAGTAAAATTTCAGGCAGTATAACAAACCGAAATGAAAAACAACAAATAACCTACTGGCAAACCAGGTGGATTAAAATATTTGAGGTTAGGAAAGCAACCCTCAGTAAGCTCTCTCTTTTCAGCTGATAATGACCTGAGTGCCCTGGTTACTGAATATTCTGGGTCTTGGGAACCATGGGATCCCTGATCTAGGTTTCCTAACCTGACTTCCCTGGCTGCAGCTCTGTAGGAATATGGTGGGCATTCAAAAGTGAGGGACTGCCCTGGAGTCCAAAAGCAATTGGTGCTCTAGTACCTGAGGTGTGCAAGATTCTCAAGTGATATCTTAATCTTCAGAGGAAAATGATGTTTCGTATGACTTTTTATTATATTCTTTTTGTATTTTTTAACTTGAAATTTGGTAATCCACGTAGACTGTTGTCAAAATACAACATTTATATAAATTGGATAAATAGGAGTTTGCAGGCAATTCAACTCCAAGTATGAGCTAGGGGCTTGATCTATGAGTTCTCCTGAGTGTTGTTGTTTTAAATCTCATTTGAGTCTTAAACCCATTAGAGAATATGATGAAAGCTAAAGAACTTATTCAAGAAAATACATATACCCACAAAATTTTGCACATAAATTTAAGGCCTCCTGAATCCCCTAAAACCTATCCAGGGAATCTGGATTAAGAATCTCTAAGACTTTCACGGGAGAAGGGGTGGGGGGAAGCTTACTGCCATTCCATTTTGCCATTAAAATTTAGATCCTAATCAGAAGCTACTATTCAGAACTTAATTCTTTTTAAATTTTTTGTGGTTGTTGTTGCTGTTAGCACCAAGGGCCAGAAAAGAAACCTCTCGTAGATTTTCTGTGGTTGCGGTTAGTGCATATCGTAAATACCTTGGAGGCAAAAGGAACGTGGCAGTGAGCACAAAAAGGAAACACATTTGATGAAAAACAATAGTAATTATAAAGCAGGACACAGAACTGCTGAGGACCATAAGCCCTGCCCTCTCCAAGTGGACCTGACTGTGCAGCAAATTTTGCCAACTTGCCAGAGAGGCAGCAACTGCTTCGCTTCCCACTTGGCAAGAAAGCGCTAAATTCGTTTTCTTCCGAGCATCCGCAACCAAGATCCCAACCCAACATTCCCGCGGCCTTCCGTCGGTGGAGCAAACTCCCGGCAGCAACGCCCAGCCCCGGGCGGGATCGTTCGAATCTGCCCACTTCGCCCGCGGACCCCGGCTCCATCCCCACATGCCTCCCAGCCTGGGGAAGAGGAAGGGGAAGGGCCGAGCCGGAGAGTGGGGCTTGGTCTGTGAGTGTCCCTCGGCAGAGCCGGGTGCGCGGGGCCGGGCAGCCAGGA